TATATATATATATATATATATATATGTATTAATTGACTGAGAATTATTGTACTAAAAAAAGTTGTAAATGCACTTGTTCACAGTGGTTAAATTAAAGAAAAGGTTTTTAAGCTTATGTCCAAGATAGGTGTGGATGTTGTTAATTTATGGATTTTACAGACTAACATTACACTGAAATCAAGAATAACTTATTTATGTCAGTTGTTTCAAGGATTTTTTTTTCCCCTTTTGTTACAGGAACCAAAGAAGCAAGGTTTTCGAGCAGTTGTGGTGTCCCCTACTCGGGAATTGGCAAAACAGACATTTAGGGAGTGTCAGCGATTAGCTGAAGGAAGAGGTCTAAGAATACACATCATAGATAAAGTTAATAAAGCTGCAAAAATGTTTGGTCCAAGCTCCTCCCAGAAATTTGGTATGAAGCTTGGCAAATTTTCTGGGTAGCTAAAAAAGAAATTTTTATCTAATATAATTCAAATTTTATTTACTGTTTCTATAAGTCTTTGCAAGATCATGATGATGTAAGATATTACATTTATTAGTAATTGAAAGATGAGTGTAAAAGATTTTGGTAAATAATAATTTTGATAATTTTATTTCATTTATTGTGAATCACTTTCATTCTTTGTGTTGTTTTGTCTTTTGTTTCATAGACTTACTTGTGACTACTCCAAATCGACTAGTTTTTTTACTTCAACAAGACTCACCAGTTATAAGTCTTAAAAAGTAAGTGATAATTTAGATAAGTTAAACTGATCAATCTGCACCTTTGTTTCCATGCACTTACAAAAATGTAGACATTGAAAGAAGAGTTGATGCTTCTGCTCTCAGCATTTTATGTATAAACTAACATTACGAGGTGCTGACTGGAGTATCTTAGGTATACTATAAAGAAAACTCTACAAGTTGTTTTTGTTTTGTTTTTAATTTTGCTCAATGTTTCATTTGTTCAACTTCTTCAGGAGCAACCTTCTGTTTGAGTTATTGTGAGTCAACCAATTTAATTAAAGGGTTACTCCCGAAGAAGTTGTACTAAAAAAATCATTGAATGAAATAAAGTAAAAGCCTGTTCTGGAGGTTATGATAATTTTCTTCATAGTATATAGGCTCAGAGAAGCTTTAGAAAAATTTGCCCTACAACAGGTCTTTATAAACATGAAATACAATTCCAAAAGTGACAGATCTTTTGTTATTATAGAAAACAAGTTGATTATGTTCCGTGATTAAAAAATTTCGGAAGAAAAATAAAGAAAAAATTATTTCATAAGTGAAATTTTTGAGTAAGAAACTTGTATATTGGTACTTTGAAATTTCTCATTCTGATATGATACATTACCTATTATCTGACCTCTGTGTGAAAATTTTTTTAATATGCCACAAACCTTGAGCTCTGATGTACCATAAGATCAACATGGTTCAACTACATTTCGCATGCAAATCATCATGCAACAACCCTCCACCGATAGGAGTGCGACACACCCTCCTGAAGCATGCGACTCCCTCTATTTGATTCTACCAAACTACCACTTCAAGTTTGGCAGTGCTATGATCAAGATGTTCCATCTATTTCTTGGGGATTTCCTCCTCCTTACCTCGATGTTGGGATGATTGCCATCTTCGGCTCTTTCCCTTCTAACATGGCTTCTTTGCTTTTAGGATTTTCTGAGGTAGGACACTGACTTGTACCAAGTTCATTTCCCTTCCACTTCTGATTGGGACTTATGGATGGCTCTTCTCCTCCACTGGTCCATTTTTTGGGGTGGTGTTACTCCTGTGACTTTAGTATCACATGGGGTATCTGTATTGCTACATTCGATATTTTATTTTTTGGTTGCTCGTTTATTTCTTTAGTCATTTCATTCTTCCTTCATGTTCCATGTATGGCATTTTCCAATCATTTACCTGCCCTACCTCTAAGAGTTCCTCCATTAGTCATGTTTTCTTGATACAGCTTGGAATTCTATGATTGATCTGTCCCACTCAATCACTTCTTGGTTTTTTCTCTTTTTTCCTATATTGTCTTTTATCACACTGTGATGAGCCTTTTCTTCAGGACTGATGATGCCCATTGTCAACATTTCTATTTTTCATCCCTCATTGTGCTGTCTTAAGTTTGTTCACCATGGGGTTGGGTAATAGTTTCGTGCCTTGCCTTCTGAGCTTGGATCAGATCTGTATGTTTTATCTCTGGTTCCTCATCCACTTGCCTTGGCCCACAATATGTTTAGACAGGATTGGAACCTGCTTATATCTTTCTTTTCTCATTCCATTCATTACCTTCCCGGGTGATTTCATTCATCTTTGCCACTCTGTGTTAGCTCTTTCTGATTGCTCCTTCCTGGCCAACACAGATTTGGTTTTCTCAGCTGCTTCAGCTTGATCTGACCTTTTTGTTCTGGATCAATTGTTTCCTACCCTACTTTTGGCGGCTTGTGGGACATGTTATTTTTCTTTGTTTTCATTTCCTTACATATCCCACCTTTAATCCCTGTTGGATCCAGTTAGCCTTTTATGTCCTGTACCTGCTCTGGGCTGCTTCATTGTCTTCAAGACTTCTTTCAATTGGTTCCTTTCCCTGCTTTGTCATTCTCTGGCACCACTCCTCTGTTTGTGACTTTTTCCTTCCTCCTTTACCCTTTGGATTTGATTGGCCTTTTCTTCCTTATCCCCTTTTTCCCATAATCAATTCCTGGTGTCTTCACTCTGAGTTGGCACCTTCTCTTTTACCTACATCTCACCCTCACCATATGTTGGAGGTACTTCTTCTGTCGAGCACTGGAACCACACCTCATACATTTATCTCACATTATCTGCTTTGAGTTGCTGTTTCTTCCTCGTTGAGGTACTTACTGTCTTCTACCTGTCACCATCTTTCACTCTTTGGTGAGACTGTGACTGGGTAAGATACTTTCTTGTATATATACCTTTTATTTTGCAGGGGCATTTCCCTTATTTTTTTCTGGATCCTGCTCTTTGGTGAGTGATGCCTGTTCAGGTATACTTAAACTAGTCAAATCTGCACTGTAAGTCCTTGATGACTTAATAGTTATAACTTCCATGGCCACTAAATGCACACTGTTGAGATGGGATGTTCCATAATATTGCTCATAGGTTTCCTCATACATCATTCATATGCCCGGACCATATTAACCCATGGACTTCGTGGGTAAAGCAGAAGGGGATAGTTGACCATCACTGCTGTTCCTTAGATTGAATAAATCAGGAGTGGTCTGCTTTTCAAAATAGAGATTTTGTGGACTCTCGTTGCACTGTCTCTGGTGTTGGCATTCCTTTGGACTCTCCACCACATTTTCTCCCCCCTTACCACTTTCCAGTTCCAAGCTGATGGGGTGGTGGACCCTGGAGGAATTCTCCTAAATGTGATTATGATTTACAATACAAATAATGATAAAACCATTCAGTTGAGAGTAGGGCAGTGGTGTTCTGCTGGTGTAGATGATGAGATGTCCTCCAATCTGATGCTCCTTCTCTGTATGAGTTTATCGAAGGGGATGTAGCTTTGGACTAAGCAGTCAAAATTGCAGTTCACCCCTTCAATTGGGATCCCTCATCCTACCCCCACATGGAAATTGGTTCCGAGTGGCTAGGTTTTGGATTCAGAGTTGAACCAATCAACATAAGTCCTCACACATGTATTATAGATGTCTTTGTTTCCTCACTCAATTTTACTCTTGTTCCCTCCACACATGTTGTGTGTCATGGTGGTAGAACTTGCTGATTAATACAGTTCTTCCTCTTACACTATCCCTCAATAATTTTCTTATTCCATTGATGTTATTGTACTGGGGGCAGTTCCTATTGGATTGGTTTTGAGTGAGATAGTTTACATTAGGGAGACATCTTTACTATACTAATCATCCAGATGTCAGGTTCCTAGATCAGTAAAACAATTTATCACATTGCTGTAATGTATTCCGTTCATAGATTGGGGAGTAAGAGATTCCCTCCATTCTGCTGCACTTGAGGTGAAGAAGGTATACTCTTTCCAACCCCTACCAGATGGCTGGGTTTTGGATGCAGTTACTTGCCATGTATGGTCCATCACACCATAGTCACTCTACACGTAGAGTCACATCCTTTTACTCTCACCCACATTGATGTACTTTATGGGATTAAGATTTCAATATTGTGTGGTTCAGATCCCTATCCAACCTTTGTTCTCTCCCTTTTAGATGTGCTCCTCCCATTTTTCTTTGCACCTGTCCCTCCACTTATTCAGTGTGGGATTCTAGCTGTTTATTTGAGCAGGGGTAATGGACCATATTGGAAGTTATATTTTTCCTATACTGAAAATGTATTTCCAATAGGTATTTACCTCTTCTCACACTTCCCACCCCTCCTCCCCACTGAAAACCGGTGCTTCCATTTTCTGCAAAAACTCGAAGTGATAGTTCAGTAAAATCGAATGGAGGGTTGTTGCATGATGATTTGCATGTGGGACAGAGTTAAACCACATTGATCTTAGGGTATGTGGGAGCTCAAGGCTTGTGGCGTGTAAAAAAAAATTCATATAAAGGGAAGCTCTGAATGAGAATAGCTATTTATATGAGAGGAGGTAAGTACCTGTTGGAAATACATTTTCAGTATAGAAAAATTATAACTTTATATCATAATGTATAACAGTGGAAACAGTCCATATGACAGATCTAAAACTATTTGTGGTTGTAGTTAACATATATTGTTGGGGAGTTTCTTTCAAAAACTCTCCAAGGATTCCAGAAATTGTTAGAAAAATATTACTCTTATCAGTTTTGTCTGTCTTTTTGTTTCTTTATTTCAGTAAGATTAAGTAATATATTATTTAAACAAATATTTCCAGCGTGGAGTGGTTAGTCATTGATGAATCAGACAAATTATTTGAAGCAGGCAAACAGGGATTTCGTGATCAGTTGGGTGTTATATACAAATCCTGTGACTCACCTAATGTTCGACGTGCCATGTTTAGTGCTACGTTTGCCTTTGAGGTTGAAGAATGGTGCAAGCTAAATCTGGACAGTGTAGTGACCATCTCTGTTGGTGTGAGGTTAGTTGAAAAGCTAGAATCTGATACCTTTATTAAAATTATTGTTGTGCTTATAAGGTATTGAGAGCTTCATTGTCATTTCTAACTTCTTTCTTTTTGAAGTTATGGAAAACATTCATGTGAACCATGATAAATAATTTTGTGAAAATGACATTTAGAGCAAATAACTGTTTTAAGTAAAAATAAACCTCTGCCAAAAAGAAAACATGCATGTGAAAGACATTTTAACAACTAGTATACTTTTTTTTTCTGTTATCTATATCATATCACAACCAAATAAGATTGACGAACTGTTAAACATATTGTATTCAGCATACAAACTCAATTGTAACAGCAGAGACTCAATATATGTATATAGGAGTATTTCCTCATAACACCAGTAAGTAGTTTATTAATTGCCATTTGAACTAGATCAGTTTTGTTTTTTTGTCAATTATGAGTGATACACATAGGGACAGTATGTAGAATCACAAATTAATTTATAAAAGATATTTCAGAAGAAAGTTGGAAGAAACATGTTTTTTTTTCAGTAAAAGTTTACATTTTATCTACTCTATCTCTATATTGGGTCAGTCGATTTGACTGACCTCATACCCCCCCCCCCCCTAAAAAAATCTAAATGAATCTAAACCAGCCATTTTTTCTTTGGGGAATGACTTCAGATTGTAACATGAAACTATATTTATTTATCCTCAGTAGCTTTAAACTCGTAACAATATTTATAATTAAATTTTATTGCTTCATTGCCCTTTTGTTTCACACCATTATAAGTTGTAAAATACATCGGGAATGTGAAGCTCACATTAAGCTGTCGAATTACATTATCCATGAGCTGCTCACATGCGTGTCTCATTATTATTTATTTTACCTAATTTAATCTTAACTAACCTAAAAAGATCCCTCTTTTTACATTTAATTACTTTTATAATAATGAATAAAGAATAAACATGAAAAACAAGAAATAAAGTACTTACCCAATCTTCTTTTTTTCTTCCTGTCCATTGATGACAGTTAACCCTATTTTATTTTATACTTGTGGTTGTAATGCACTAAATAATTTTTATTTAATTAAATAATGCACCAAAGAACATAGTCTAATAACATGCAAAAAAAAGTAGACAATTTCACTTACCTCTCAAAATTTTTCTTCCTTTCTAACTATGCGACAAGAGCTGTTACAAATTCTTCTAAGCTAGTAGTTAACTTTCCCATGGGAATGAATCTTGTACTCTGAGTGAAATTGACGATATTCTGTTCAGAACACAGTGTTATAAGATATGTCATTTGGTAGATGAAAACCTTGATTTTCTATTGGTTATAGGTAATATATAATTAAACGTAAGAGAGAGAACTATTAACAAACCCTGAAATAGAGGATATGACAGGTGAGTGTGGTAGGAGGGGTCTGAATTTCTATTTGATAGCTCAGTAACCAAACAAAATTGAAGTTTATAAAAAATTATGGTCAAAAGAGTTAATAACTTAAAACTTGTATACTATTAAAATATGGATTATTAGCTAAGATTTTATGTTATACAAAAAGTAGTTTAATAAAATTTTGAATGCAAGACAAACTTTGTGTCATGCTAAGTAAAGGATACATATGGCAATAAGGTTAAGGTGTACTTTCACTTATTACTTATGTGCCACTTTTGAATTCTTGTTAACAGACAGTACTATTATATTTATATAGATGTATATGAATGAGCTTGGCATCAAAACATAATTAATATATCAAACTTTAATAGTATCTAAGTTTTAAGATCTTAATTTTATAAGGAAATATTTAAAAAAAATTCTCAACCTCCTCTAGTATGAGAATTGTGAAATTTGTGCTCTAGGTCATCCCTTTCTCTAATTTATTTACCATTCCTCCATGAAGTATGAAATTTAATGTAAATTACTCATTATAATATAATTATTACTCAGGCAAAGCATAATTTTATGGCGTTAAATCTTATTTGTTTATGGAGCCATAAACTACAAAATCAGACCCACTTATCATTTCCACCTGTCACATCTTCTCTTTCACAAATTGCCAATAGTTCTATCTGATATTTAACACTGTGTTATTTATAACCAATAGAAAGCCAAAGTTTTAATCTACCAAATGATGTATTAGATTACATTGTTTTTTTCTACAGAAAAAAATGTCAAAGGAAACACACCGACAATTTGATGAACTTTTAACAGCTCTTATCACATAGTTAGAAAGCCAGAAAAATTATTATAGTTAAAGACCATTGTTTGTTTTTATGTGTTGTTATTCTATGTTCTTACTTGCATTATTTAATTAGATAAAATATTATTTAATGTAGTAGTACCTTTAGTACAAAAAAGTTGGGTTATGTTTCATCAACAGTTGACAGAAAAAAACACAAGGACCTAGGTAAGTAGTATAGTTCCTGTTTTTTATGTATATTCTTTATTTGTTATAAAAGTAAGTAAAATTTTAAAATTAGAAGCTTTTTAGGGTAAGATATTGCAAACATTCACGACCAAGTCTTTAATAAAAAGACTTAATTAAAAAATTTTATTTTTTATGTACAAAGGCCTTGTAACATTTACTGATAATATGCAGAATTTTGTGAAGATATTCTTACATTGTCAAAAGTTATTACTAATCTCATAGTTACTTTGATGTTTACAAATTAGATGCAATGCACCTATTCCATATGGAAAGAGTTAAAAAGAAAAACACTAGTTTACTGAATTCTCTATGTTGTAAGTAAAATAATTCAAAACGTTTTAGATTTGCATTTTATTACTATCGTTTTTGAAAAGAAAATTTTATTTTGTGTAGGAACTCTGCTGTGGATTTGGTTGAGCAAGAGCTACTATTTGTGGGCAGTGAATCAGGAAAGCTTATAGCCTTTAGAGACATAGTTAAGAAAGTAAGTTAACATAAGAACTAAGAATAAACATTTTATAACTTGTTGTGTTATGAAAATGTCTAAAAAGAAAGACCAAAGTATAAAAGTATCACAAGCTTCATTCATTTGTAGTAGTTTATAGATGAGTTGTACAGATTGTTTGCACAGTAATCTTTGAACCATTAATGATGTTTGAAGATAATTATATCATGGTAAAGTAACCATTACTTTAAATGCAAATACTTCTTTGTAAATAGTATGGCTTTATTATTTTATCAACTATTAGCTTTTACTTTTTGGCAGTGTTTTCCTATATGCACTTTTTTCTGCATCTTTTCTTGGTTTTCCAATGTTTCCAACTTCATTTTGAGTCTTTCAGCTGGTACAGTCTTATGAAGGACTCAAGTGTCAAACTCAAAATTTCATTAAACATAAGAGAAGGAAAGAGAACTCTACAGAAAAATACCTTAAATTCTGTACCCTCTTTTACTGTGTAGTGTTTAAATAGGCAAAATTGATCTATGAGCAATAGATGTGCTATAACATCTCATAAAAATTGATAACTGTTAGTGGTCTGATACAGGTTGCCAGAAAAAAAAAAAAGTAATAATATTGTAGAAAAGTACTGATATTTCAAATTGTTTTTATTGTAGATTTACATACTTCTTTTACCTTATTTTCATTAGGGTGTTGTGCCACCTGTGCTTGTATTTGTACAAACAAAGGAAAGGGCCAAGGAACTGTTCAGTGAACTCATCTATGATGGAATTAATGTGGATGTGATACATGCAGATAGGTCTCAGCTTCAGAGAGACAATGTAGTAAAAAGTTTCAGAATGGGGAAAATCTGGATTTTGATTTGTACAGAGTTGATGGGTAGAGGTATCGATTTCAAAGGAGTAAATCTTGTTGTAAATTATGACTTTCCACCATCTGCCATTTCCTACATTCATAGGATAGGTACGTGTGTTTGAAAGGTTGTATTATTACTATATATATTTTTACTTATGCAAAGGTTTAATTGTTCTTTATATAAATGATTTGTGTCTACAAGTGAAGTATCATGGCAGAACAGATGAGAGCAGTGATGTCATAAGTGACATGTTTGCCACATTTAGATTTGTTTCTTTTATCAGTGTAATGCTACAGTGGGTAATCTGGTGGCTGAAGAAGTACGAGTTATTTCCAACGAAAGATATTTATTTAGCAAGGTTGTTAGCTGATTTAACTTTCTGGTACCACAGTGAAGTAAATGTGTAACTCAGCATATGTGCACATTAATAAGGAAAATTTAATTAAAAATTAAATACTCACCTATATCAACAAGTTCCTCAGGAGCCAAGGAGTGTCTTTACAATTTGTTAAATATTAAAGGTAAGTTTATTCCGGAAGCTCCTAAAGGGGGTGGTGTTGGCCGATCTTTTTGAGACAGCTTCAAGACAAGTTTTTGTTTGTTGATTGATAAATTTAAAGTGAAATACAGCATCCTTAAGTCTCCATACTAGCTAGTACTAAGGTCTACCCGCTGAGAGTAAATTCATTATATATCAGTAAAGCCACATTCTCAGCATTTGATATTGCCTTTTTGTGTTTAGCTTTCAGTTGAGATGTGAACTATTTCACCTGCGATTCAGTAGGGAAGGTCAAAGCATCATGAGTAGACAGGAACACTTAGAAAGCAACTACAGGCAAAATATTGTACTAGGCTTGGGGCACAATATCTACCAAGGTGGTTTTAAATGGTTCCTGAATACCTCTGCGTGTCATTTGGAGACTTCCATGCTTCTTGTGCTTGGCCGTTAAGCTTGTGATGCACTGACAGATTTCAGTACCATACCACTTGAAATCACTTTTTGCAGCCTCTACACTAAAAGAGTGCAGGAAATGCCTTCTTTTTAGCCAATAAACATATCCAAAAAATTTCAGTTCAAATTTTAAAAAAATGGATTAGGTAGTTTTTTTTCAACAAAAATGTCCCCAACTGGCTCATGAGGGGCCTGTAAATAATTTTGAACCAGAGAATAGTGTAGAACATGGTGTTAAAATTGTTGATAACCATTCTATAGTTAAATATACAACTACAAGTTGGAAAAATGCCTGAATTGTTATTTATGTAGCACCTGTAGAGGACTGAAAAGCATTAATTTTGTTTCTTTTCCTTATTACTGTCATGGCTTATGGTGGTGTCTACCAATAAACTCTATAGTTATAAAGAAAATGATACATTTCTCAGGCTTTTATAGGATATATAAAGCAGCTGTGGTTTTATTGGATGAACTCGTGCATGTACCTCCTACTGGGAGTCTTGACAAATGATCATGAATTTGAATTTAAAAAAACGACACTTGTTCCAGCTGAAAACCAATGAAAGGCGAGGTCCATGGTTTCAAAATTATATAAATTTGCCAATAATTTGTAATGGAATTTATCTACCTTTATGAGTTCTGAAGTATTAGTCTAGAAAAATCACACTTGAAAGGAGAACACAGTGTTTTGAGGAATTGTTTCCAGTTAATTAAAAACCTGGGGATTTGTTTTGTTTTTTTGTGCTCTCTGTTGACTTTTTTGTTGTTGCTGATTCTGGATTGTATTATATTATTTCATTTTGAAAGCTAAAAAAAAAGCTGAAAGATCATTCTCATGATATAGTACTTGAACAGTTTTAATATTTCCTTTTCTTTTACTTGGGAGAAGTATACATGTACACAGTAAACCATTTATGTGGCTGTGGTTTCGCTAGATAGTAGATAGGGACAGTGGGAATCTCGTTAATCCATTCATGCGCATCACTAATTAGATGATGAGGCATTTGGCTTCCTAAGAGAGTCATATGTTATTGATTTTATATTTTAATTTATTGTTAAGGCAAAATGTTAAGTTAGGTAAATAAACCTATAATATTGTGTATGCCATTGTGTGCACCATTAAATCTGAAACAAGAGACTGAATTATAGTTAATCATCTCATTACAAATCATAAGTAGTTTTATGTTACAAAAGGAAAAGGTTTTGCAGTGTACTTTAATTGATTATTTTTGGCTTTGAAACAACTGAAAAACATTTTAGTTCAACATCCAGTTAAGTTTTGACTTTTTACAATGTATGGATAGTCTTAATGTATGCTTATGTTAATAAGCATTTTTATGCAAAAAGTATTGGTCTTTGCAGGTTATGTAGTACGTTTAAAACTTTCAGTATTATTCCATTTATGGAAAAGTTTGAAAGTAAGTAAAAGTTTAAGGTTATTGTGTTATCAGATATCATATGGTATTAGAGTTGAACTTTAATTGTTAAGTGAATATCAGTTTCTTTACAGTTATTAGAAATTAACAGCTCAATGCACTGATTCACTCATTCTTATTTTTCAGGGCGAACAGGCAGAGCTGGGAGACCAGGACGAGCAGTAACCTTCTTCACAGAAGATGATGGAGTAAACCTTCGAAGGTAACAACAACAGTCCAAAAGAAAAATTACTTAAGTGCTGTGAAATTACTAGAATTTTATTGCTAATTTTTAATATCGTCTTGCATCCCCTCACACAAAGGTATCTCGATCTTCCTTCTGCCCTCTAAGCATTGCTAAAACATTTTCACGCTCTGCACACCAGTCTGTATACGCCATCAATTTCATGCCATTCTTGAACATGTACATCTCATGTGACTACCCATATTAGCGTAGTTAGCTCCCTCTGCTATTCCCTCTGAATCCTCACTTTCTCAATTGGAACTACATTGTTTAGATGTGTTTTTTTGCATGTGAATACATTTTCTGATTATGCTTCGTTGCTGTTTCTAATTTTTTTCTGTGTTATTAAATTCAATTGTTAAGCAATTTTGCATTTGAATTTGTTTCTTGTTCCTGAATTATAAATGAACTTAGTATGAATTCAAGGTTCAATGTGTCAAAACTGAAATTCCCTTGACAGTCAACAGCGCAAATGGTACAACTTTCGAAGACTCAGGTTGGACTTTGTCTGCAGAGGAAGTACAGGCCTTAATTCACAAGGAACTAGAGTCATATTTTCAGCTAGTGATTTTTTTCTTCTCTTCAAACTGAATATGTCTCTGAGGAAGAATACCATCATGGCAAAGAAGATTTAGACTCTTTTTTTTTTTTTTTTTGGCACATTCTGATTTTCATCATTTACAATCTACACCTATTCAGGAGATTTTACTTCCTACCCTTTTGTACAACTTTTTAATCAGGTATGTAGGTTTTACATGTTTCCGCTATTGCCCCTATGATGCGTCCCCTTCCTTATTGGGTGACATTTCATCTTCTGAATTTTATGTTTTTCTCCCTTCACCCAACAAACAAGTTTATGCTGAGAGATTTTTCTGACCAACTTTGGTTGAGTATCGGTATGCCTCACCCTCTTCATTTGTTGAAACAATATGCTTTGGTGTACCATCCTGCTTTGGATTCTGATCAGTTGGATCCTCTACACCCCCTTTGAGGTTCAAATCCTGGGGCTTCAGTTCATTTTAATCAGGCTCAATTCTCAAGGATTTGCCTTTCCCTCTCCTCCCTTTTATGTTACCTGTCTTTCTTCCAATTATTGTTTGAGGCCCTTTGCTGCTCCCCTGAACTTTTCTTTTTCCGATGAGCTCAGGGTTCTCCTTTGGTCCATTATGGCTTATATAATGGCCTATGCTCTTTACCTAAATATTTGACTCCTGTGTTGTTGGGGAGGGATGCTTTAATTATGGGGTGGATCTCCTCCATTCATCCTTGCGAGATCTGTGTTAGGCCCTCTTCTTACCCAAAATTTGATCCCTTGGAATCAAGGATTGATGTGGCTAGATTGAATTCATCCTTGTCTTCTCTGGCCACACATTTAAATTCACCCTCCCACTTCCTCCCATGAGTTACCTGCCCTTGTTTTTCTTCCTCACTCAGACCCTTGCCTTTCTCTCGGCACTCCTGTTCCTACCCTCGTTTTTCCCACACCTGGACTGAACAACACCAGCATTATAAGTAACACAACAGAGGTTCCTGGACTGGTATGGACTAGATTGCTCCACTTTTCGATCATGTGACAGCATTTCACAACAGATCTGTGGGATCTATGGGTTCTTTCAGAGTGTCTTTCCCTTCAGTTTTAGCCTCCAGACCATGGCATGGGTATCGTTTCCTCCGCTTCTTCTGGATTTATGTCTGTTCAGTGATGCATCTTTATAGGGTTGAGATGCTTACCTAGACTCTTGGGAGATTTCCGGTCTCTGGTTTGTCGAGGAGTCTTTGCCAACGATGTAGATTTTTCTAAATGCATATTTTATTAAACTGGATCTTTGACCTCGGTTTTTGGCAATGAAGGAATTTGCCACTACTCAATATACAGTGCTTAATAGAGGATATTATCTCCTCTTGTTTGAAAGATTTTGTTATCAATTGAAAATAATTTCTTACAAAGTAGCCAAAATTTCTTCCTTATTGTAGAAAACTGTATGCCAATAAGAAAACTGTTCAACAAAATAATGAAATGAACAGTTTTCAAAACAGTACAGAAATTGGCTAAGAAACTAACAGATTAAAAAGCTGTCTGTTTCATATATTGAAAAGGCCAAGGATAAAAAGGATATGTTCCACCTGAGCGTTATTGAGACAAAATCCATAGAAAACAACTTACATCAGCATGCTAGATACCTTGGAGGTGATGTCATGTTAAATGACATTGAGGGATATGGTGACATGTGCAAAGATCTTGTTATGACTTCTTCAGATATTACCAATTATGCTGGAGGGATTACATGAACAAGAAATGATCAGAAAAAGGTAAGCATTCTTACAATGTATACACTGAAGTATTTTTGAAACTATTTAATGACCTGGAAATACAAATATTCTTAGAAAATAAGTATTTGAATTGGCATCTTTAACAATGCAGTATAGAGCCAAACTAAAGGAGAGAGAACCAGTTCATACAAGTCACAGTGATCTAAATATAAAGTACAATACTATATTGGTAAAAAGGTACAAATATTACAACAGAAGACAGTCTGACAGTTTGGTGTGTGCCTCAGATATAATTGTATCAAAATTGTCTGTTGAATTGAAAAGGTGGAAGATTTTGATCTCCTTGGAAGTTAAATTAGTGATATTAAAGATGACAGAACAAAAGGAGTAAATCGAATGTTCTATTATTTAGTGAAAAACATTAAAGGTGATCTGAAGGTACAAAAAGAAAACCTTACAGAATGTGCCTAATACAGATATTGAGCAGTCACTTGACCCAGGTGAACGTGAACTCAGTGTGAAAGTGAATCAAAGTCACTGGAGTTTATTTATGATTGTGGATGAAAGTTGATTCCAAATAGTCTATATAACCACATTGCTTGGACTGTCACTAATGCATCACCTGAAACTGATGATTCAGATAGGGTAAATCTTAATGAAACAGATCATAAAAAGGTTCTTAATCTAGCTCAGGATATTGCAGCTCAAGTCACAAAAATTCCAACACCAAAACAGGTAGTTTTTCACTTGATATTTCAAAGGACACCCAAAGTAAGAGGGCCTAACATTGTTAAAGAATCTTGGTAATTCTGCAATTTATAGTATGAATCAGTGGTACATGGCCACAATGGCGTAATCTATGAGGAATCAAGAACATACAGATGGGTTCTTTATCCTATCCAATCTTTTACCAGGTAAAATGATACACTGATACTTAGATTTTCACTAGTACACAGAGTTCATGGTTTTATGATCTGTATAATACTTGAACAGTTTTAATATTTCCTTTTCTTTTACTTGGGAGAAGTATACTTGTACACACTAAGATTTAAAAGAACATAATTTCTTCCTATTGTGTTTATAGAAACAAAGACATAAGAATGTATTAAACAGTATATGTTAAATAAAGAAAAAAAAAGAAAATCATCACTGGAGTTGCCAATGCTGGGCCTTAATGTGACATAAGGGTGAACACCCATATTGGTGGCCAACTGCATTGTTATGCATTTCTCTACACAGTTACAGATAAACAATGGCAGCAGTGGTCTTTCTAGGTACAGCAATAACTGTTAAAACAATTTAGGTAATCTTTCTGGATTTTAAACAGTAATGAACATATAGTTTTGAAATTTATATTTATATTGGGCAGATTTATTATGTTTGATTTTTTGCAGGATAGGCTAAACTCCGCTGCTTGATATAATGCATTTTGTAGGAGAGGATCTTGAGCAGATCTCTTCAGTTTTACTCCTCAATACCTATATTTTGTGAGACCAAGCTTGGAATTTCTGGTACTTTTAGGACCCACTCATCCCAGGCTTACCTTACATGACTTCTGAACTACAGTTCATTCTTGTAATTTACTTGAAAGGCTTATAGATAAGAAAGAATTGAATTTGGGGGACTTTCTATAAGACAAAAGAATATATGTATTACTATTTAAAATAAACTTTTGACTTAAATATAAGTTCTGGCATTGAACAAAAGACTTTCTGGGCAGTGACTGAAAGTTATATCACTGACTAAATCCTTTGATTTGTTATCCATACTGAAATAAGAGAGTTGTAAATCAAATAATTTACAATTAATAGTCATATTTAACCACTGTGTTTTGCATAAAGTTTTTTGTTTTGCCTGAAAGTTTCATCATCTGGGTCAAAAAATTTAAAATTTATAAACAAAAAATAAATACTTTGAAACATATATTAATGAAATTATTTATATGTCAATTTTAAAGTGTATTAACAGTTCAATTAAAATAAATATATATATATATATTATTTTTTTTTTTATTTGCAGTATAGCTCAGATCATGAAAGATTCTGGGTGCCATGTCCCTGATTACATGCTGAAAATGAAAAAACCTTCAAAGTAAGTGTTTGTAACATATTTTTATCATACCTTCAAAAGCTGATTACATGAAGACACAATAGCATTTGAAGCAACTTCCTGACATTGTTCCAAATTTGTTCCCTAGTGAGTCAGTAGTAAGTTTACAGACTTACAACAGTAAAATCTGGGGTTCGATTCCTTATGGAACAGAGTGCAAAAAAACCCATTATGTAGCTTTGTGCTAAAAAAATGCAAAAACTTGATAAGGTTTAAAAATTTGATAGTGTTTGTAAGAAAAATTAGGATTTAACATGTATATATAAACATCTTAAAATTATTTCAAAGAATTGTATTTATATTAGATCTTGTGTTTTCATTGCAATGTTTAGTCTTAGAGAGGGCAGAATACATTCTATTAAAATGATTTTGAATATGCAAATCAGCAAGTCATGATAATAACAGCTATTATAAAGTTGTGTTGGAATGATATGTTCCAGAACTACATTTTGACATTGTTTGGCATTTTGTAGATAATGTGATGTCAATGAAAATTGATGCAGAATATTCACACACTAAGATTAGGATGTGTTTATGTCCCCTGATGGGACAGCAGTAAGTCTATAGATTTATAATGCTAAAATCAGGGGTTCAGTTCTCCTCGGTTGACACAGCAGATAGCTTGATGTGGCTTTGCTATAAGAAAAACACACATAGGATGTGTTTATATTGGGGATTTAGAATTTCAAGGATGAGAAATCCCTTGTAATTAATAGCATTGGAAAACAAATGAATATGTATCAATTTGTGGCACCAGGATCATCTAGAAAGAGACCTGCAACCAGTACACCCACCTGTGGTAAGCAAAGTGAGATTCCAAAAGCCATCCAGACAACAGTAAATAACATAATCAAGAAGGATCTTTTATAAAAAGCAACACAAATCATAAGTATCCAAATTGTTTCTATGATATATCCAGGAAAGATATATCCATGGTAAAAATGATAATACTTGGGAACACTCAACAAAGTGTATGTGTACCTTTATAAATGTAACAAGTTTTGTGGCATTTTCTACCAGCCACTGGGTGTAAAAGATTTCAAAAAGTGGAACATTGCATGTCACTAAACATTTTTGATGAGATTCATTATCAAGACTGTGTTAGGGCCAAATGGAGAATAGACAGAAAGGTCAAAGTGAATCTGCCTACTATCAGAAATACTGGCTTTGTAATAAGCCCAACAGTATATGGGTTCACAAAGATAAGGCTTTAAGTCATACCTCATGTTCATCTGTTGCATACCTCAAGCAGCTGCAAAATAAAATGGTTATTCATTCTATTCCATACAAAAACATATTGGTCAAATTGCTAGATTGTGCACTTATGGATTTCTGTGTGATTGAAATCATTGTTTAGCACAAATTTGCTAAGTGTTGTGAAATTCTCGTAACTAAAGAGCATTTAGCATCACATTATATTATTGTCAATAATGATGCTTGATATGGCTGTACTGAGTGCATGGAGGTGATGACAAGAAACTGTTTATCTAGTTTCCATGGTATTATTATAAAGGAAGTTATTAACACTGTTTTAGAGAGGAAAACTACTATCATATATTTTATAAAAAATCAGGTTGGTTCTGTAAAGTATAGGTTTGTTCTGAATAATAGGGTTGCAATCCTAAAGATAATGTTGGTTACTGTCAAGTGTCTCTTTTTCTTACTTGGCTGTGATGTGTGTTGACGAAAAAGTCATGATATCGAATCAAAAACATCTTAGGTGTTAAAAATAGGTGTGGCCTAAAAAGGATTGAGCATGTGACTTAAAGGAATGAAATCAAAATTTAGGACCAAACTGGTAGCTACACTTACAGCATTGATAAGAATTTTACAGCAAATATTCATTCATTAGTTAGCTTGGCCTCATATTTTGTTTTACTCACCATCGTGCTCCAAACCATCGAAGACTAGCTTCAAGGTGTTCTGTTTCTTCAATGACCTTGGAAGGTGGGGCTGACAAGTCATCATTGTGATCTTCTTTGGTAAATTCTGACTCTAAAAAGCAGGATGCTTCGGTAATGTAAATAGAAAGGTTTCTCACAGAAATGTGACAGTGACAATTCTTTTAAAGAAAAATTGGCAAACTCACAAATTTAGTGATAGAAAATTGGGAGCCAAACATTGACCATGTTATATCAGGGTATGCCTTAACTCTTTCAGCACAGGCTTGGTCCAACGAACTGACCTTGTAACCATTTTGTGCTTGTTGTAGTTTTTATGCTATAACTTTTAAATTTGTCAGTGTATGTACACAAAATTATGCAATTTTCATTAAACATTACAAGGCTTTTATATACAAAATATCAGATTTTTTTAAATACGTTTTAAGATTTAAGTAATTTTTTCTCATGCCTTTTTTTTGATTGGTTGACTATCCATCATGTAAAGTAATTTTGATTTTAAGATTAAAAAACTTTTATGCATCAGAAAATTTTCTAATTTCACATGCAAAATCTTCATAACCTCCAGATAATTATCAAGTGTTTTGAAGAAAAAACTATATTTTATCTGTTATTTTCACTATTGAATCTCTGTACAGGTTTGGTCGATTTGACCACGATAAAAAATTAGGAAATAAATATAAATTATGCATTTTTTTGTTTCAGAATTACTACAGATTATAACACGAAAACATGAATGTTTAGACTAAATAGCTTAAATCTCATAACATTATACATTTATATATATTTATTATATTGTCCTTTCAGCCATGCCTGGCTAACAATACAGAAGTTGCAATGACACAGCACATGTTACTGTATCCAAGAATATAAAACTGGCCTTCAAAAAGTAATCTATCTTGGTTGTGTTTTAGTGAACTAGTATTTTGTAAAATACAGTCACATTTCAGTTAAAATGCATCATACATGTATATACATTATTACTATTTACAAATTAGTTCTTAAACTAATTTTTTATAAAACATAGAACAGTAAATAAAGAAGTTTAGCAAACAGTTATCTCTTCTTGTTACAAACTTTGTAGTCGTTTGTTGCCTGTCGTAGGTTGCTAAGCCTTATCAAATTTCGCATGGGGAAGATGTGAGACGAAATAATTTTTTTATGTTTTATATATACATTTTGAAATAACCGAAAATCATAAATTACTATATCAATACCACAGAATTCCACTGTAATTTATCAAGTTTAGTAAGTGAACTGTATTTGGGTCTAAAAAAATATTAAATTTTGAGCTCACTAACGACTTACTTTACTGCTTGGAATCTAGCATGAAAAGAATGAGTTTACTCCCCACATACTTGAATACTTTAAAGAGGCTGAGAAAGCCACCAGAGAGACATTCTGAGCTTTCAGTTGGTTATACAAACATCATTCGGCAAAATAGGTGTATGTAAGCAAGTGTTTTCAAAAATTGAGGAGGTAGGTGGGGCCATTTTGGGTTATTCAATAAATATATTAATATCTCAGAAAATATAGGAGGTTCTTATTTAATATTCTAGCTATAGAATACTGTAGTATATACTGTATATACTAACTATAGATACTGTATTTTGACATCACAAACATATAATTTGAATCAATGCTGCATTCAACATACCATATTACACAAAAATTGATATTTAGGTGGGGTTTGTATATTTACTTTTAAATTAAGAAATTACCAGATGTATAACACTAAAATTACAATTATAATCAACAGTTTGATACCAAATTTATTGACATACATTCATAAAATAGTAGTTTAATAAAATTTTGAATACCAGTGAACAAACGTGATGATATGGCCTTTGATGCATGTCGATAGGGTTAACAGGATTCTACTATATTTCAAAAATCCTCAATCTCCCCTGGTATAAGAATTATAACAGTTTTTCTCTAGTATGTTTACAACTCCTCTGAAAATTAGGAATTTATTATAAATTACTCATTATAATATAAATATTACTAAGGCAAACATAATTTTATAGCCTTCAATCTTGTTTGTTTACAGTTATGTACTAGAAAATAATAACTACTTGTCACAGCCTCTCTTTCACAAATTGTCAATCAAATGATGTATTATATTTCATTGTTTTCTCCATGGAGTATTGTCTATCTTGTCTTCAGTTTGAAAGGTTCTCTTGCAGTGCTTATATCAGTAAGCTTAGCTAAATTTTTAAAGGCTCTTACACCACAGTTAGAAATTCAAATAAATTATGATAGTTATAGGACATTGTTTGCTTTTTATTGTTATTATTCTCTGTTCTTAGGCACATTATTTAAGTAAATATAAAGTATTTAGTGTACTACTACCATTAGTATAAAAAAAGCGGGCTTAAATTTAAGCAGCAACATACAGCGAAAAGGTCACAGGTGATATATTTTTTCTTTTTTATGTATAGTCTCTATTTATTGTTATAAAAGTAACTAAAATGTAAATATGAGAAATGTATTAGATTAGATAATGATAAATAATGAAAAAAAATTATTCATGAGGTATGCTCACAAGCAGCTCATGCATTATGTTCCAGAAAAAAATGAGGCTAATTTAGATTTATTTCATGTTTTTTATGGTGGTTACAAGGTCAGTCAAATCGACCAAATGCATTTAGCGTTGGGGTAGAGAAAAATGATAGATAAAATATGAAGCTTTACCAAAAAAAAAACTTGTTTCATATTTATTTTGGAGGTTTTATAGATTACAGAAATTAAATTTTACAATTTGCAGATGAAGAAAAGTATTTTTAAACTTAACATGAAAATCACTTTGCACTTGGAGCAGTCAACACTCTGATTCCATATATTCATGGTCAAAGTTTTAGTAAAAATACATAATTGAAAAATCTGTTGTTTTTTTGTGTACAAAAGAATTGTAATATGTACTGAAAATTTACCAAATTCTGTGAATATACACAAAACATGTTCAAAGTTCTAGTATGGAAACTCTGATAGTTACTTTAAGGTTACAAGGTTGGTCACATCAACCAAGCCCATAGCAAGAGGGTTAATAAATCACACTAAAGATCATCAGTCATTTATCATAAGCAGTAAGAAATAAGTATGTGATATTTGTGAGTGTAAACTATACTGTGTTTGGCCTTACTTTTCTTTTCACTAAGATAGCCATGTCCATTTAGTTAGGGATCAGAGGGCATGTAATCACATTTTGTAGACTTGCATTCAAAATTTTATTAAACTAAATAAATTTGGCCTAAAATTGTAGCTTATAATTAAAATTTTAGTATTATACATTATTTAATTTCTTAATTCAAAAATAAATATTAAAAAAGCTAAATATTGACTTTTATATGTCGTGAAACATTGTCCTCTACTTTTGCAAAGATTACATCTTATGACACCCACACTACAATGTATATAATTTTTAATGAATTAGAAACTCAACTTACCAATATTGACAAGCTAGAATATAAAATAAAAACCTACTTTTCTATTTGCTGAGATATTATTATATTTAGCAAACCCACCACAGTGGCTCTGTCTGCCACTTCATCTTTTGAAAATACTTGTTTACCTATGCATACTTCTCGTAATTATATGTTTATAACTAATTGAAAGCATTCATTTGAACTAAATAATCCTGTCAGTCTTCCTAAAGTATTTATACGTGGAAAACCATTATAACTGCTGGAGAGTTTGAAGTGTGATGATCAATGTGATATTCTGATCAGAAATTAGATTTTATACTAAATTACACACCCAAATGCAGCTTAGTTGGGAAGCCTGATAAATTACAATGGATTTTTGTGGTATCAGTGTAGTAATTTATAATTTTTTGGTATTCCAAAAGTGCATGTATAAAATCTAGAAAAATCATATTTTCTCCCTTTTTAGTATTTACTACTTGGGTGAAATTTGATAAGGCTTAGCAAGTACGAAACATGCGTACAAAAACTTCATAACATTGTAAATAGTAGAGATCATTGCTTTCTATATATATATATATTTTTTTTTATTTACTGTTCTATGTTTAAAGAAAAATACCTGAAATTGAAGAATTTATGTGGAAATAGTAATAATATATATACACATGTGTAATATATGGTAACTGAAATGTTACTGTATTTTTCAAAATACTGGTATGCTAGTATTAAAAAGAAGAGTAAGAGATTTGCACTTTTTAGGCCAGTTGTATGCTATTTGATGTGGTAACTTGAGCTGATTGTGGGCCTCCTGACTGACAAGTTCAGAAGTCAAGGAAACAAAAATATTAATAAATATAAATAGATGTATACTGTTAGAAGCATTAAACTATTTAGAATAAGCAATCAATATCACTTTGCATATTGTATAGTCAACATTTTGAAAGCAAAAATTTGCGAGCAAATCTTTAGTTAAAATACTTAACTAAAAATTAGGATTTTTTTTTGTGTACAAAAGCTCTTTAATGTTTACTGATAGTCTGCCAAATTTCATGAAGAAATTCCTACATTATCAAAAGTTATATAACTAATATTAGGGTTACTTTGATGGTTGCATAATAGGTGCAATTTACCTGCCCATAGTCAAAGAGTTAATTCTTCAAACAAAAAGTCATGTAGCATTCACATATGAATTTTAAAACATAGTAAAATACATGATGCCCTAGACTAGACTGTCTCAAAATTACTATAAATTACTGGCTTTCTAAATAAACTACAAATAGGTTTAAAAAGTTTTGTTTAGCTGCTTGCAGCTGAAGAACAAACATCACACATAAACAGTAGGTGGGAAACTGTTTACATTTGGCCAATAGAAATTACCAGCTAAGACCCTCACAAAGGAGAAAAACTTTTCAATTGATTAAAAAAAGGCTATCAAATAAGGGCACATGGTTTTGGTATATTTCTTGAAAGCCAAGATAGATTGGTGTAGCTTCACTTGTGGGTTGATATTATTTATTCATATCTCTGCAGATTGAGAAGATATATGGTTCTAAAATATACTCTGACTTGTAATTATCTACTGTGTTTTTATTGGTTGAACAATCTAAAAACCAAATAAGGGAAGGGAGAAAAGGTAAAAATGATAATTCAAAGGGGAAGATATCATGTGGCACAGAGAGGTGAATAATGAGAATTTCTTTTAATATTTTCTTTTGACAATATAAATTATGAACTACCCTTTTACTCTGTATATATGTATGGGCCGAGTCAAAGTACGCATGTACACATTGATAATAAAGTTAATTAGGTTTTGAATGTAATTCAGCAAAACATCATGATGTGCATTTTGACTGAGCTGTGCATATAGTTAATGTAGTATTGTATGTTCGTGGCTCTATACTTAAGTGTTTCCAAAATGTTTTAGTACTTACACTCAAATGTTACCTGTAGTAATTTAGGGATGCATTGAGAAATGATAGCATTGATTTTTTAAAATATTATAATATCTGTTGCCATACGAATTGTATTGTGTAAACAAGGATAAGTGTTGTTGTTTTTTCTAGAAAAATGAAACGAAAGTTAGTTCAACAGGCTCCTCGTAGAAAGGGTATATCAACAGTACCCCTCTGTGACCTTCAAAAACAGAAAAAAAGAGAGTAAGCTGGAGATAATTTATTTAAAGTGTCAAGATTATTGATATGATATCAAAGTTTCACAATTCATGTAATAGTGATTTTGAATAATTAGTAGTACTAATGAAACTTTTTAAAACTTTAGTTTTTGGTAATCATATTAATTTTTTTTTTTAACATTTCACTTTGAACTTGAAGAAATCTGTTAATAATGTTCAAGGTTTTATAGCCTTTTTTATAGAAAGTTTCTAACATTTTAAATGATAGACAATCTGCTTCTGAATTTAGATCATTTTGTTGCAGGAAAATGATTGAAAGTTCCAAACAAATGAAAAAACTTGAAATCAGTCGAAGACAGAATAACGGACTGATTGACATGCAAGGGAACAATGTCCACAAAGCATCAAAGAGTTATGTAAAAAATTCTCAAAAGCCCAGTTCATATAGAAATAAACTTAAAAATTCAGGGCTAAAGCAGAGATAAAAAAACAGTTGCAATAATAAAAATTTGTTCTAGAGTCATATTTTTTGACCTGTTTATGTATTTGAAAATAATTTTTCTTATGATAAATAAATACCCGTCAATTTTTTTTCCAGAAGGTGTGGCAAATGTTATCACTATAAATTGAGTTATGTACAGGGGTCCTCGTTATACATCGGAGTTAGGGACTGGAAAGTTGCAACTTATAACGAAACGATGTATAACGGGGAATTTTCCCCCTTAAGAATAATGGGAAATGGGGGGGATAGGGACCATAAAAGCATAAACATTGACTATGCGATGCAAAGTGTAACAATGAAATATGGTATTGAATAGGGACCATAACTTAAGAAAATGTGTTTTAAACCTAGCAACCGAAATACATACTGTAATGTACTATACTATACATATTTATAACTAATTCTTAGTTCAAAGACCTTTAAATAGCATTTATATTTACCAAACCCTTCATTGAAAACCATTTTTAAGCAGCTCTGTACACTTTAAAACATTTTCCTTTTTTATTTGAAAACATATTTGTGACATTTTTAAACAATGACTCAAACAGAAGACCATTTTTAACGTAAAAAAAGTCAGAATATTAAACAGCATTTTAAAAAGATTTTCCATAAACCTTTGATTTTTATGTTCTTATCTTGGGTAGTGTATGTGTTGTGCTTGATTGAAGGTGTTGGGAGAGGATTAGGTGGAAGATGAGAATGGAGATGCAGCTGTAAAGTCATCAACATCACTGACATCTTTATCTCTATAGAAAATGTAGGCTCAGACGGGCCTGCTTTGGGTTCCTTATGTGTTTTTTTAAATAGAATCCAGGGTTGTCTTTTTTCCTACTTGCATGTTATTAGTATATGTTCTTTGATGCATTACCACCATTAGTTAAAAAAAAGGGGTTAAGTGTCACCAATAAACAAAAAATATGATTTTTTGTCTGTGAAAGACTTAGAATGTTAACTGAAAGACTGCCAAATTTCATGAAGATATATACACACTATATATATATTGAAAGTTAGAAGTATTAAATCTATAAAGGCTTTAAACAAGTACAAAGAGATCATATATTCAGTCAACTTGACCGAGCCCATGTTGAGAGGATTTAGCTGAACCAAGTCAAACACTATGAACGACATATGTGCGGGGAATTTTTATATTGTGTTCCTCAAAAAATTAGAAATGTAAGTGCAAAACAATGTATATCACGATGACATATAACGAGGACCCCTGTATATGCATAACCAACAAACTTCTAACATATTGATTCTTCACACAGATCATATACCACAAATTTAAAGTTTTTACAAAAGGCCGGTACTTCTTATTTACTATGACTTAATTTTTTATGGTGTTGCCAGAGATGTCAATTTTAAACTTTGCAGTGAATGATTATGTTCATATTTTGTTGTTATTGAACAATGTGACAACCAACATATTTTACAGTTTGATCTGTTAGTGCCAATAAACCCTATTTCACAACCTTTTTTGATTCAAGTGTCCCACATATAAAAATTAACTAAGATTTAGAATTCATTTTGTGAGATGGCCTAGTGGTTAGGCTGCTCAACTTACACTGTGGTTTGCAGGTTTGAATCCAATCAACAAACATGCTTGACCTTTCAGCCACAGTGGCATTATAATGTAACAGTCAATCCCACTATTTGATAAAAGTAGCTCAGGAGTTGAAGGTGGGTGGTGTTTACTGGATGTCTTCCCTCTAGTCTATCACTTCTAAATTCAAAAACACTAATGCAGCTGGCCCTCAAGTAGTTTTGTTGAAAATTCAACAAACAAATAATTTTTGGGTTGCACTTCTGTTAAAATGGTGACTAAAATACCTGTGCATTATCTGTGAACTGTATCTTTTAAATAGTATTCTCTGTATATACATTTGAAACTAATCTTTCTGCACCAGACATTAAACATTTTATCACAAAGCTGTCATCTTTCTTGAGAAGGGTAGAATAATTTCATTTAAACTTATTTTTAGTAACATTGTTTATTAAGCAATTATTTTTAAAGATCTGTACACTTGCAATAAGGTAATTTTAAATATATTCCATTGTATGGGCATTTTTTTTCAGGATGAACATTTTAAACTTAGTATACATTTTGCTCAAATATTAATCAGTTTTCAAAATAATCCAACTTGTGTATAACTGCAAACAGGGTGGCATTTCCTTTATTAAAACATTAACATACAAGTAAATGAAAAGGAAATGCTTATAATGTATTAAATGTATCCACAGATTTCAAGTAAAAATTTACAACTGTAGCAGCCATTACATCATATACTTTCATAACATTCATTAGTTTAAAGAAAGTACTGTCAAGAAGAAATTGTATATACTTTTACATAGAAATACTACTATACTGAAAAAAAAAATTATACCATAAGTCATTTTAAAGAAATGTTATTGTGGAGAAACTTCCAAGTTCTTAGGATAGACTCTAGAACTTTCAAATTTAGATTTTAATAAATTGACTAGGATAAATATTATTCAAAGGAAGTACAAAAATAATAATTCTTACATAAAATATTTTAATTTCCAGGGAAATTACTACTTGATAATCAGCATAACATTGACATTCCCTCAGTTAAAATGAAATAGGAATAATATATTTTATAGAAGTTATACTCAAAGTAGATTGCACTTGGTTTTAACTTTTTACGAACTGCATCTGCTTGGAGTGTAAGAGGGGAATGACATCTGATCCTTGTGCTGCGGCTTTAATGAGACTCGATGAAGGCAGATGCAGTCCATAAAAACTTTATATCCATAGCTCTAGTTTTAGAACTGGAGTATTTTGATATGTATTAAACAAAATCATTTGACTTTGATGTTAGCTAAGGACTTTTGGAGAAGAAAACTTATTAAAGATTTTTATCATAATCATAATTTATCTTCTTTAAAGTAACTGATAAATATTATAAAAGTTGGATCATGCCTTGACAAGAATACTAGAACATCATTTCAGTAAGTGTTTGTCTTTGTCAGGAAGTGGTTTTCAAATTGATATTAGCTACAAAAACCTCTTTCCAGATAAATAGGTTTGAATATATAATCACTTTGGTGCCTATTATTATTATTAAAAATTGGATACACACTAGTCATTTCACCAACGTAATAAAAAGAACATATGAACAGTCATTATCAACAAAATTCTCCATGATGTCCTGTAATCTTATGTCACAAACATTATAACATAGAACACATTAAATATGTATACAACTGATTACTTATGCAGGTTCATGTAGCAGCTAGACCACCATTCCCAATTTTTATATTTAAATCTAAATACACTTGAGACACTATTTTCAATTCTTATATTATCAAGCCAATTTCAATGTTTCCCTCCAGCAATAATGTCACTATTCTTCACCTGTAGCAGCATTACTGCTACATTCCAATGTTTTATTTTCAGTTGTAATGCCATTACTTTCATGTATAATGTCACTAATTGTATGTTTCATCTTAAGTTATAATTGCTTTACTTTCCTTTATTTCACTTGCAACTGTATTTGTTTGGTTAAACTGTGTTTTATCTTCCTTTTGATTATCAATATTATCCTGTGTTTCATCTGCAACTATACTTACACAACTTTTCTGTTCTTCAGCTGCAACTGTATTGCATTCCTGCAGGTCACATTTAGCTATATTTTCACTGTTTTCTTGTATATAAAGTTCAGCTGTATCAGTTAAGCTACTATTTTCTTGGGCCAATACTACTGGTTGTAATGGAGGAGGAAGAAGAGCAAGATTTTCTCTCCTGTCTTCATCATCAGAAGGAAACGGGTGTGTTGAGAGTTCATTAATCATGATTGGAAGCTTTTCTAGGTTGTGAGAAGCTTCATTCAAACATTCTACAGTTGACTCTAAGGCAGGAAGTACTGTCTGTTTCATGTTGGTAGAAGCCTCATGAGAGAGAGAAAAGATGGTACCTTCTGAAGATTGTTGTCCAAGAGTCTGTTTATTCTTAATATCATCCAAAGTAGCTTTAACTAGGTGAACCTCAGCTGGATATATATAGCTTGCTGTGTCCAGCAAGACATGTTCTCGAATAAATGAAGGTAGCAGCTTCAAGTCTATGTCAAGAGGAAGCTTATATGGCTGGGCAATAATTGACGGTTTGGCCAAAGCTAAATCAACTTCCTTTGAGATATTTTCCTATAAATACAGTAACATTAGAATTTGTTCAATTACAGGTATTTATCAAAAGCACAAAAATTTAAAATGTTCTATGTTAGCGGCCAACAAAGTTTTTAATTATAAATGAAATACCTTTAATTTCATTAAAAGTGCTGTTGCTCGTGGTTCATAGCTAGCCAAACAATTTCTTATGGTAGAAGAAAATGACTTAAAGTTACAAAGGCTTCTAATTGTAAATGTTATTGTTAAGCTGTCATAGTTTATATTAAACAGTAGTAATACATGTTAGCTTACATGATTATATTTTCTCCACAAGTTGTTGCTTAGAATGAACATGTCCACACTAACATTCAAAGTTGACTTTCAGTAATTATTATAAAGGGTTAAAACATACCAAGAACCCATTTTAATGTTATACACTAGATTCATAGTTCAAACTTGCTTCATGACTTGACAATATAATACATTCAACATATTTTATAACAAATAATAAATACCTTTTGATATAGACAAATTATGTATTATGCTAGGTGAGTGTTCTGAAATACAAATTGGTTATGTTTTTTAACTAAACTACAGTTAGTTAATTTAGGCAATGGCCTGGCATGTCCAGGTGGTTAAGATGCTTGACTTGCAATCTGAGGGTCGTGGGTTTGAATCCCTGTCCCACCAAACATGTTCAGCCGTGTTATAATGTGATAGTCAATCCCACTATTCATTGGTTAAAGAAGTAGCCCAAGAGTTGGCAGTGGGTGGTGATGACTAGCTACCTCCCCTCTAGTCTTTCATTGCTAAATAAGGGACAGCTAGTGTAGATAGCCCTTGTGTGGCTTTGTGCAAAATTTATGACATAACATAATTTGGGCAAAAAATGTTAATTCTCCTATACAACATGCTAGAATTTGATAATTAAAATTTCATATTAGCTACTTATTGTGTAAGAAATAAAATATCATTGATAGATAAATTTTTTATTTCTCGTAACTCGACTAAATAGTCCTAATGGCTTGTAGAATTGGTCCAGTGTTAACATGTGCTGGAAGTATTTTGTATACACTACATTAAGTGACAGATCATTTGTTAGATTCTTAAATGTTTTTTTGTGAAGAAAGTCAGTTGTAATATCAATTTGTTAACCTATTATGGAACAAGAGGAGTTAAATGCAACAGTTTTGATACAACATCTGAATATAAGAACACCAAACATGATAAAATGCATCTTCTAGATTACTATGTGAATATTGCTAATTACTGGGGCTCAAGAAATAACTTTAAACTTGCCAAAATGTTTACACATATTCATGTTAATTGTGTGATATCTGAAACAATATGCTACAACCATTAAAAAACAACGACATGAAACATAAGCATATATGTAATATGTTTGTCTTATTTTACTTTATGCTATAAGTTATAAAAGTAAGCATAAACAATTTTAATAACCATTATGTTATAAAAAGGATGAGGGTATATCAGCTGGTAATTCTGCCTACTCTTCAAATTTTTTTATTTAAATTTACTGTGTTCACTTCATTCCACAAATTTTGTAAACTATAAAAATGACCAGAATGTTGCTTTTAATCTCTTCCATAACTCCCTCATAAAAAGTCACATTTCACATACTTTTTAAGCTAAATGTTAACATTCTACCTTAAGTCATTGTCTGACTTATTGGAAGCATCATGGAAGATTGTTGCATCACCCTGAACTCCTTCAGGTTTGTAATCTAGTCATGTGAGCTTATGCTGTTTGAGTACCAGAAACTACATTGCTGACACCAAGTTTGTGCAATACTCAATATTGTGGTTGCATGATACAGTCAACAACAGTTTAGTATAAATGAGTTACTATATCATGGTGAATCCAGAGAGGATACAACTTACTGCCAGGACTGAAACTTTGCATGGAGAAGACCCTCCTCTTCTCTACTAACCCACATCTCATACAATCCACCTTCACATAGGTGTGCTTGTTTGTATTATATAACTTCATACAGCTAGTATACATACAGTCTCAGAGGCCACACACAACTGAAAATTCAAAGCTGCATCCCTGATTTCAGTCTTTCTTTTTTTTAACATAAACCTTTAGACTTCACAATCTATCAAAGCATGTTGGGTTGTTTCACCACTTTGAACATGCATTGGGCAACAGGAAAATAAGCATTTGTGTTTTGAACGAGATGTGGCTGATAGAAGTTGCAAAGATGATTTTTCAGAGTCACATTATCCTTTATAACCAGAATATGTGGGTTGGTAGATATTGTACCCAATAGCTTCTACTCTTTTATTTGACTATATATATATATAGCCATCTCATGTGTACTTTATTCATGTGCAAATGTTTTCAACATCATTTTGAAATATGTGATGAATATTTACTAAATCATTATTTCATTCATCAGCGAGATATGTACCAAGAAAATGTACTCATCAATACATACAAGTATCACTGGCTTAACAAGTGACCACTGCTTGTGCATTCTATAATTTTTTCTCTGGAATGCATAACTGAAACTTTTCTGTAAAAACACGTACATATTATTTAAAACTAGGATGGCAAAATTATTGTTCTTATGGCAAAGGTTCCTGTGCAAGGGAATGGATATGGTAAGATATCTTTCTATTGGTGGTTGATACTTCCAAATCCGTAGTCAAGAACAAATTTGCTACCCAAAGCAGAAAAAACTGAATGCATTGCCCTCTTTATAGCAAAAGTATTTTTCACACCTAGAATTGTGGATAGAATTATTTCGGATAACTTAGCACAGAGCTCATTGAGGAGCAATGAGACTAAGAAGTCCCATTAACAGAGTAATGTGGCACACAACCACGGAGGTGGTAACGAAAACAGGAATAAAAATAGAAAAGATGGTAAAGGACAGGAGACAGAAACACACAATAGACAGCAGTGTTCTATACTACATTCCTTGTGGTGGATGCAGTAAAGTTTATATAGGTGAACCTGGCAGAGGTTCAGAGTAAATGAAACTAAGCAGATGTCAGAAGACACAGTACAACCAATGTAATAGTAGCACATGCAGAGGAAGCAGGACATCTGCCTAAATGGAAGGAAACTAAAATTATCAGCAAAATGATGGGAAAGCAACAAATGAAAGCAATAGCTGCTTACATTTTATTAGAAAAGAACATAAACAACACAGCGGGAGACTACAAGTGGGCAGAAATGGCAGCAAGCCTAATGAAACAAGAGCAGGACGTTGAGTAATCAGGTGGTGGTTGACAGACAGTAATAATGGACCAATCAGGGAGCAGCGACCAGGAACCTAATCCACAAAATTTTTATATACACCCTTATAAGGCACTACGGAATCACATTCTCCTGAAGAAGACTTGTAGTCAAAACACTGATATAATAAAGATTCTGTTATAGTATTCTTAGTCTCACTGCTGCCTTAGTATCCATTTATCAATATAAATAATACCCTTAATGAGGAGCTTCCAAACAGATCTTCACAGACCTTACCTCAAAGATAGAATCCTGGAGGATAAGACTATCAAACTGCTTAACCAAATAATACTGGAGCAAAAAAAAATCAATACTGCAATGAATCCCACTAATTACTGGTGGAGTATCCCTATGTGTTTTGCAGGTACTTTGATCAGTTCTTTATAGTGTGTGTTGTAAAAGTCAAAAACTTAGAATTATTCAATATGAGGAAATAAATGGGCCCCACTGGTAGTGAATGGTTTAAATACAACTTAGTAATTTTAGGGTTAAAATATTCACTGTCATGTAGCAAGACCTATTCCACATAATCATTTTGCTACTGTTGTTTCTCTAAATTATTAATCACATCCATTATTTTAAAGTTGGTAGTATAGCCTTACATCTTTGGATATATCATGTAGTATAAACTGCTTTCTATCCACATAACTTGTGCAAGAGGTTCCAGCAGTGATGACAGTATTATGCATAACAAATACAAAACATGGGGATATGTTTCAAGTAGTACAACAGTCAGCTGAGTATGTTTTGGGTATATATATATATAACATTTGGCATTGCTATTTATTGCTGACCTGATCTTCATTTTCGACTCAATAAGGGCTAACATCCCAGTTTTAGGATGCAAGTTTAAATTATGAGTGAATTGTTTTAAACTTTTCATATTATGCTGAGATTGCACTTTTTTATGTAGAAATGTAGACAAATTGATATTTATTTATAATTTCATTAACTACTACACACTTAGGTTTTGTTGATATTTGGCATCACTGTTTTGTACACAGTTCCATGTTTGCTGCCTTAGAGGATTGCTACAAAAATATATTTTTTTTATCTAATAGTGCTTTCGTGGTTATATGACGTTTCTAAATCTAAACATAACAATAATTTTCAAAAATAGTTCTGGCCTCTAATGGGTTAAATACTTAGCATTTTTTCAATCTGGTTTACTTGAAGATGCATCAGGAGTGATGAAGTATAAGTTAGTTCATTTCTAATTGATTCAGTATCATTTGGAGGAGATCATTAACTACATGGCATTTAGAACAATGGTACTGTTGGTAGAACTAAGCAAAAATGACATTATATTTCTTTGAAACTATCTTTTCAGTTCAACATTATTTTATACTGATAAGTGCCTTCTTCCTTTAGATCTGTACTTCACATGGTATACAATAGTCTTTTACTCATTATTTGAACCATATAATCCACTCTGTAAGTAATGTGACTACACATTACTAGTCATTTAATGCGCAAATTTCAATTTCATTTAATAATGTAATTGCTAATCTATAACCATTCTATTGGCTGCACAATTTTGAGTTCATTAGTTGATTCTTAAAGTGTACATAAGATTGGTGCAGATTTGATCAGTGGTTATCTATTGCATCACAAAATAAAAGGTTTAAACATTTAAACACAAAAATGGATCTTGACAATTTAAACATAAACAACGGTTTTTATAACAAAGTAGCTAATGCCATGTTTAAATATTATCATAATATTTATCACATATAATTTTGATAAAAGAGTTAGCACAAAGGATCACATATAAAGTGTAATAGATTTAAAATAAGACCCAAAACTCGAGCGCTTTCGATTAGTTGACTATTCTTCTTCCGGAAGAAGAATAGTCAACTATTCGAAAATGCTCGAGTTTTGGGTCTTATTTTAAGTCTATCACATATGATATTCAACGTCTAAATATAGTGTTCACATTAAAATGTGGGTAAAAACAACCTTAAAATGAGCTAAATTGCACAAGTGAGCCAACACAGAAATTGATGAACAAAAAACACAATAAGGATGTGGTAATGTACTTCATTTCTATATGATACAGTGGTCCTATTATAAGTGAAACAGTTTCCACAGTAAATATTTATTTACTGGATTTGACTTGTAGGGAACATTCCCATCTTTAAGACTCTTCATCCTTTATCAGATAGGTGAATATGTGCTCATTTTTCAACAGCTTTCTAATGAAATAACCAGTGAAATCATTAGGTTTTAAAATATATTTTCACGTTTTGTAATCACATACTGTAAATGAACAGATAATTGTATTATCTACAGTTTTTAGCAAACAAAACTATACTTATACATTTTTAATGACTGAGTTGGAGAAAAAAATGGTCCCTTAAATAAACAAAATCTTGTATAATTCATTTTATGATTGACTAACTGATAGAATAAAAAATAAAAACAGAGATTTTCAGAAGAGATAATATATTAAATTTAGACTGTTTATTACTTCTGGTTTTGTGACTGAAAAACTACTATTTTCATCTTCACTGCTACCATAGTTAATGTGTACAGATACTACTGAAATAGCATCTGTATTTCACTATTAGTATAGTAACTAAACATCATCAGACCTTGAACCTGTTCATATCTTCTCGAAGTAAAAGAGTTTCTGCCATTAGTTTGTCCTGCCGTTGTCGTAAGTCTGATAAAGCAGCAAGGTTCTGGTACATAAGACGAAGACCTTCACATAAGAATGCATTTTGTTCATAGCCACCAGGAGGCAATGCTTCTCCAGAAACATAACTATCAAATTCATCCTGACTCAAATTGAGCGACTCTGCTGTGAGATCTTCAATGAAAGCAACAGCACAACACTACAAGACAAAGATAAAACGTGAGTAATACTTATTTTGAAAGGTCACAGATAATTGTAATATTTCAAATTCATGTAAAAAAAAAGGTTTCACATAACAAAAAACTCCAGTGTGCACAGGTTCTTGACATAACAATTTACAGTATCAAAGATTGCACAAAGAGCAAGCATATTGTTTCTTCATTACTTTTCCATCAGCTTGGTCCGAAATAAAAATTGGTTTACCACCCATAAATGCTTTTCTACAAGAACTAGAACCCATTCCAAATTTAAATTAGGTTTCAACCTAAACTGTTTAAGGAAAGAAATGAGCTAGAGATTGATACAGCTTCAAAATGCATATTATCATATACAAACTGCTTATTTTGAAGACTGCTGACAGTATAAAATAATATTATTAATAACTTCTCAGTTTTCATGAAGTGTATAATAATATGTCAACCACACTATATTTTCTATATCAAGTGCAAACAAGGCCTTTTACTCAATCCCACGGCTCTTAGGCCAGCTGAGATATGACAAAGTGATGGCTGAGATGCTATTCATATTACTAAACTGCTTGACCACAACTGTATCAATGTGAACTGGACTGAGTTAGAGAACTGTAATTTTTTCATCAAGTTATTGACTGATATACAGAGTTCATTCAAAAAGTTTTTAAAGAACTTCATCCAGCTTCCAGGAGATAACATTCTGTTGTTGCAGCTCAAAATATGTCTTCAAATATATGATTAACAATGGTGTAACATTTAATCAGAATAATCAAAGATTGGTTGTTAAAATCAAACAACCAAATTCTTAATTTTGGTTTTCCATATTTGATTACAACAAATTAAAATAGTTTTTGGAGATATGTTGTTCTTTATACTTTTATATTCTTGTTTCTAAACCTCACTGTGAGAAAGCCAGATGTTTCTGTAGAATATAAAGCATAATTAAAATGGGTAATGCCATTGGTCAAGTCCAAGAACTCAGTCAAACTGATATTTTGTTAGAAAATTACAGGCCTGAAACAATTCTCAGAATTTATTCTGTCTGAAACAAAACTTGGATGAACTTACTGTTTGAAAAGTTTAGCTTTCTCTTACCTGCAAACATTAGTTGTTCCTTGTGCATCTGAATTTGAAAGTATGTGCTTGCCGCTAATCTTGAGGTATCTCCCACCAAAGGCATATTTTTAATATGAACTGTTCTAGTGTGTAATGTAATCATCATGTGAAAATAGTTCTCCCTGAATTGGAAGGCAACACATCCCAATGTGCAGTAGATCTCCATAGACACTTGCACTCAAAATTAACTTCATTCTTATATAAGGCACGAATAACGTGCACCAGTTAACTTCCAAAACAATATCCTTACTTCTCTGCACACAAAAACTATAATCTTATATTAATATGGTGGAGGGGCCACTGCAATTACAAAAATATAGATGAGCTCCCTTCAGGGAAGGTGATTGAAGGGGAAAGCCCATGGACACCTATAGTGGGTATTTATTAGACAGGCAACACTTGTGGGAGATCGCATCCATCTCATGCAGGGTATAACTCTTCATCTGAATGAAAGTATGAAAGGAGGAAGGCAAAGAAGCCAATATGTCACAGGGATGGGCAAAAAAATACATGACCAACTGAGCATTTCACACAACCATATGATTAGAAATAAGGTGTAATGTGACGAGGGCAATGACCAGACTATACAGTGTTCTGTTGTGTCATTTACTCACTGGTCAAGGGAGGAGAATACTTTGCCCATCCAGCTGGCCAAACTACTGGAAAATTGTCATGTATGAAGGGGTGACTTGCACAACATTGACATGGATACCCCCTATCCTACTTTTCACTGCATTGTGTTGCCCACTTGGACTCTTTCCTGAGTGATTGCACAACTGATGATGAACTCTCCAAGTGAACTACTCCATAGGCTAGTAAGTGGTAAGGGTCTCCCATTCTTCACTCAATGACCAGGGAGAAAGAAATTTGTGTTGGGAAACAGTGGAGAGGTGCCCAGTTTCAATTGGACCTAACTGCTGCAATTATCTTTTACTGGAGAAAGTGTAATGGGTTACTGTGAAACCTAATTTGGAAAGCCAGCATGCATGAGCCAGGGAAGTGGGCACACTCCCCTGGTGCTTGTTTTTTCAATGATAGTTCATGATAGGTATGGTCTGGAATGGACAGTGAAATATATATATACTAGCAGAGACCCACAAAACATTTCCAGTGAAATTACTATCTTTATTGCAACACTACTTTAAATACAGGATTTGTAGAATAATACAAGAGAATTCTAATCACAGACACCAAAATCTGCAAGTCCACTTGTCTTAGGCTGATAAAAAGATAAATTAACAATGTAACTTATGTACATTTATTGTTTTAGTCAGGGATAAACTTTACCATAGTTAATATTCTCAGTAAATAAACCTATAATGTTATTCTATGACGTAATGTCAGACCTTTTTAAAACTTTAAGTTTTTAATAAGTTTCTTTCTACTAAAGTATATTTACATCTTTCTTTTGTTTACATCCATGCACATTTATACTGTAAGGTGCACATGCATTTTCAGGACAGAAAAAAACAGTATTATAATAATATATACACAATTGTAGTGGTCTTATGAAAAAACCATCTCAACAGTGGGCACTTTAAGAGCCAGGGCAGATGAGTTTAATGTTTTCTTTTACCCTTGACTTGATGTAGATTTAAGGAAGTAAGTATACCCTGTGAGGCAACACTTCTCAATGGGTGGGTTCCAAGAAGTAAATCGTATAAGAGTAGAACTGAGTATGGAAGTAAAAGAAGCACTTACCCATCAAATGATGAGTCGACTGGAGAATAGCAACTAGAAGTAGGTATCATCCTGAGGCAGGTGAAACTGCCAAATGATGGAGGTAATGGGAGACAAAGGGGTTGGGCATAGCCCATATTCCAGCGTGGAGGATTTTCTCCAGGGTTGTTGAAGTTGCAAGGCCAGAAAGTAAGTCAAGTGTCAGGTTTGATGTAATAAAATATGATACAGCCTATGAGCATCCATCTATAGAGGAATATACAATCAGGATGAGTAAAAAAATCCTGATTTAATGAGCATAAATGATGAGAGGTCCTTGAAAAAATAGGGGTCCCATGGAAAGAATAAATGATTGAAGGTACGCTGAAATGGAGCTGTGCATGCTAAGAGGGCTGGGATCAAAGGAAAGAAAGTGGGAGAGAAGGAATGAAATTGTATGAAGAAATGAGTGGTCAGGGAGCAAGAACTCAATGACAATCTGTAAATCCAAGTATGAGAGATATCCAATGCATAAAGACCAGATCTGCAATGACCACAAAATAGAAGTTGGAAATATGTTCTGAGAGAGAGAGAGATGGTGTAATGAGCAAGAGGTCCATAGTTCAAATGGGGCCTGTCCGAAAGCACACAGAACCACTTTAAGGTTACAGTTGGGCAAAGGAAATAGATGAAGAGAATGATTAACGAGGAAGGGCCAGAACAAGGTGGAAAGAACAGGAGAGGAAAAGACAAAACCATACCAAGGTCACTGAGAACCTGCTTTGGTAGAAACCGACAATCGTTGATTGAACATGAGGGAAAGATGGGCAACAAGAAGACAGCCTAGTGAGAGAGAGTGATAGACAGACCAGAGGAAAAAAGACAGACCCTCAAGAAGAAAAAGTGGTAGCATTACAAGAGAGGACAGAGGATACAAAGATACTACAATAAATGCTCAAAGACCATGGAAGAAGTTTCAATGTGAACTAGGCTGAAAGAGACAGGATGTTTGGGAAATGCAAGAGCCCACAAAAGCCCTCATGCAGGGAGTATAAAAGAAGCAAAATTTGAGGTAACTAGATGCTCCATGTCTTGTAGACAAATTGGGGAAGGCTGAGCCCGACTGAGTCATGGATTGAAAACACACCAAAATGGAACAATTATCGGATTGGAGTGAGGAACAACTTGGAAGATTTGCCCAGCCAACCCAGATGGAGTAGAAATGACATGGTCAGGAAAGAGACAAGGAGGAGCCAGTCTTCCATGTAATAATGACTCTGTAGAAGACATTAGGAACAGAGGGGGAGAGCTGAAACTGATAAACCTGATCCTGGTGAATGATCGAAGAAAAACATCACAATGATAGGGCAATTGGAATATGTAAAAAGGTGTCCAAGATGTCACCCTAGGTCATTCATAGTTCTGGAGGAAAAGGATCAATGGAGAAGAAACCCCTCCATCTTGAACTGAGGAACCATTAGATAGTGGTTGAGAGAAGAAAGGTCGATGATGGGATGTTAGTCTCTGGTCTTTAGGGAGACAATAAAAATATAAGAATAAAACCCTGGAGAGGGGAAAAGGAACCTCTTGATGACTCTCTTTACCAAAAGATCTGATACCACAGCCTCAAGATGCAGTAAACACAGAGGATCAAAAGGTGAAGGTGAAGAATGAGAAAAGAAGATAGATGAGAAGTAAAAAACTGTGGGCAAGAACTTGAATGACCTCCTGGTCATATAAATGGGGTCCAGAAGTTTGCAAACAGAAAGAGATGTGCCCTCATGGTGCCTGAGCTGATTGGGTACAAAGAGAGGTAGACACTGATATGATGTGTGATGGCAACTCAACAGGAGGGGGATGGCAAGAAGAAATAGAGGGATAAGTGATGGGAAAAAGAGAGAGAGATGGAAGGTTTACAGAGTCAAGAAACAGACATGGATTCAGGAGGTTGGAAGAGACAAGAAACCAAGGGGGAAGGGAGGTTTTGTGCATTGGTAAAATCTCAAAAGATGTTAGGAACACCCCCAAAGATTTTGGGGTGAAGAAAAGGAGCCAGACAGAGGTCAGTGAGGTAAGAATGTGGAAAACAAACAGCAAAGAGAGGAGCATCACATCCCAGAAGGTTCCAACCACAGAGGATCCAAGTAAACAGGGACAAAGCATAAGATGAAACCATGACCAAAATATTGAAAAGTATCAACTGTAGATCTCCAGAAAAACTATTAGGATCACAGTGTAGAGCTTCAGAGAGGAGATGAAAGGGAGTATAGGTAGCAAAGAAGATGGGTGAGAAAAAGGTGAAGACAAGAAAATTGAGCACTATAGTTATAGGAGACAGGGGTAAATGGAACTCCATGAATTGAGAATCCAAGAATGGAAAAGGAGAATGACCTTATCCATAACAAGGGAATCTTGAATGATGAGAGGCATTTGAGTTTTAATGGAGCTGATCCAGAAATGAGTCAGCATCTACATATGTCTAGTTAAAGAGGAAAAACCAAATAATCCTCAGCATGAGAGGCATTTTGTAAGGAATGGGAAGAATCAAAAGACACAGGTGAAAGAGAAAGTAAAGAACAAACCTGAGAAACCAAATCCACAGAGAGATTTGGAGGAGGAATATTGGCCTCTACCAGTAAAGAGAAGCCTAGTGCAAACCTATGAGGTGGAAAGAGCCAATCAAAATCATCATTCTTGTGGTCAAGTTCCGAAAAAGTGGAATTCTCTCCTGGTGTATGAACGGGGAGATGAGGCAATGAAGGCAATCACACAATCACAAACACATGATACATTGAACAATGGTAGTAATGTTCTCCACAGTCAATGAACCTCCAGTGGTCACAGATAAAGTAGGGTCAGTGTTAGTTACATTACCAGAGATGAGGCAATGAAAGCAATCAGACAATCACAAACACATGATACATTGAACAATGGTAGTAATGTTCTCCACAGTCAATGAACCTCCAGTGGTCACAGATAAAGTAGGGTCAGTGTTAGTTACATTACCAGAACCTCAAGAGGAGGTAATAATCACTGTCACTTGAAAATTCATTGGGATTAAAGGAATTCTTCAGATTTATTTTTATGTATACAATAACAGAAAAGCAATGTATGTTGAAATAGAATGAACAAATAAATGTTAACAATGGAATACAGGCAGCACCAATCTTACTACATTGAACAATTTAAAACTTTTAAAAACACCTGTGTTCACAACAATGCAGAGAAAAAGAATGAAGTTAATCTGACTGCAAGTGCTTATAGGGATCTACTGAGCATGGAGGTTGTTTTGCCCTCTTATTGGTGAAGGGCTATTGTTGCAGTTCACATTAAAATGTGTTTTAGGTGAGAGATAGTTCAAAGCTAATGGCATGCACAAAATTTCAAAGGCTCACATGTGAGAAATACAGTACCTTGCAAAAGTATTCACCTCCTACCAATAATGTCATAAAAACAATTTAAAACACTAATGATCAAACTTAACACTGTTATGTGTGAAAGATGTTAAATGCCAGAAAACTTGCAAAGAAAATATACAAATTGAAATTTGCTGATTGCATAAGTATTCAGCCCCCTAAGTCAGTACTTTGTGGAAGCACCTTTGCCATCAATTACTGCTGTGAGTCTTTTTGGATAGGTCTCTAATAGCTTTGCACAATTGGATGATGTAATTTTTGCCCATTCTTCCTGAAAAAGTGTTCCAATTCTGACAAGTTCATTGGAGATTGTTGATGGACTGCAATCTTCAAGTCTCGCTATAAATTTTCCATTGGATTCAAGTCAGGACTTTGACTGGGCCACTAGAGGACATTTATTTTCTTCTTTCGAAACCACTCCAGTGTAGCTTTGGCCTTGTACTTCAGGTGATTATTCTGCTAAAATGTGAATTGTTGACCAAGTTTTAGATTCTTGGCTGACTCAAGCAAGCTTTCCTCTAGGATTCACCTGCACTTTGCACCATCCATCTTCTCCTCAATCCTAACAAACTTCCCAGTCTCTGCTGATGAGAAGCATCCCCATAACATGATGCTGCTTCCACAATGCTTGACAGTTGGGATGGTGTTGATTGGATGAGGTTCTGTGTTGGGATTGCACCAGACGTAATGCTTTGAATTTATACCTAAAACTCAAAGCTTAATTTTTGTCTTGTCTGACCACAAAATCTTCTGCCACATGTCTGCAGTATCATTTACAGGCTTTGTTGCAAACTCCATATGAAATTTAAGATGATTATTTTTCAGTAATGGCTTCTTTCTTGAACAGATGCATTTACTCTGAAGTCAAGTTAAATTACTTTTATTACACACAGACAGAGACCATTACACTAATTTTGTGACCTTTGAAAATAATCTTTTACACCTGAACTGATTTATGGTTGCTGTAGCAAAGGGGTTGATGAAAACTTCATTTACATTTTTCACGTGAAATACAGTCCTCTGTGTACACTTTTTTTAAACACAACCAAGAGATGAAACCATTCCTTTTTGCTTACCAGTTGCTTACAGATGATATTTGAATACACAAAAACTCATTTTATCTTGATCACAGTAAATAATACAACTGACAAAAATATTCTGTAAAATATAAAAAAATAAAACACCTAAATTGTTGGTGTTCAATATAATTAATATCTTGAAAATTAATAAATACTAAATTCTAGATGTCCAAAAACCTTCACAAGGCTATACACACATGGATGGATATAATCAGGCTTCATGGGAGATATTGCATGCAGTCTTGGTTAAATTAACCAATCTGTATACAAAGTTGGTTGATTTTTAGGGGTGAACTTTTTCAGGCTTTAAATTCAATACTACAACATTTTATCAACATGTTATGTTTTATATTACTCCAACTTCTTTAAAATTGTCAGGGTTTTGTATATGAGTGGGCTGGGATTCTTCTACAGTAGGTGTTTGTGACTTATTGACGATAAATTCAAACAATAAATGGCAATCTCTTTGTTTTAAAATAATGTATTCAAAACAAATCAAATGTATGTACACAAATTTTTTACACTATAAGATATCATAGTTGTATCTAAAACTCTAAATAATTCTCTTTTCTTGTCAAAAGTCCACACAGGCTGATTCATTTACTTTAGAATCCAATTGAGAAGATGAATTATTTTTTCTCTAATCTGTTTCTTACTATACAATTTGTGATAAATTCGCTTATGTTAATCCATGGGTTACCACAGTTGTATTTCGAACTTCAAATAATTGTATCCTTTCATCAAAGTCCACACAGACAAGTTCAATTACTTTAGAACACCCTTTGACAAGACAAATTATTCTCCTTATCTCTGTTAAACTATAAAACTTACTTTAAAGTATTGCCCCTTACAGCTAAACTAACAATAATGCAGTCTAACTTCACTTTTTCTGACTTTCTTTTTTAGTTACCACAGTTGTATCCAGAGCTTTAAATAATTGTCTCTTTTTTTTTTTCATCAAAAGTTCACACAGGTTTGTCAGTAGCTTTAGAACCAAATTGACAAAAAAATTATTTTTCCTATCTCTGTTGTCACAATACAGCTGTGAAACAGACTATAGAAATCACCCATTAAGGCTAATCACTCAAATGGTGGCTAACTTCACATTTTCTAACTTTTTTCTGACTGATCTTTTCTCTTACTTCACTTAACTTCACTCACTCAGTCACCTATATACATACCTTGCCCAAATGTGGCCTGGAATTTTCTACAAACTAGGAGATGCTATGATGCCACAAGGATGTCATCAACAATACTACAACAATTGAACTACACAGACAAACTCTTATCGAGTTACATAACAAAATTTTTCATAACTATTACTTTTTAACACTCTTGTTAAGAGAACTAAATATTTAGTAAATATTAAATCACTAAATAAACTAAATAATATATTTTACACCAAACAGTTTTATATATCCAACAAAAATGATTTTGTTTTATCTGCAATTAAACAGTCAAATTTAATTGTGTTTGCAAATCTAATTTTGGAGTATACAAATATCAGTGAAAAAGTCTTTCCTATTCAAATAGAGAAAATATACAGTTGCTAAGAAAACTTATGAAGGAAAATATCAGCAATCAATACAGCAACTTATTCATTGCTTACTTTAAATGAAGAATTTGCCTTGATTAATGTTTCAGTGCACTAACCTTCATAAAAATATACCAAATTATCAATTCTAAGTCAATACTTCTTTGGAAAATTGACTCATCAATAGTATAAATAATGAACTAACAAATCTTTCAAGAAGTATCAGTAAGTTTATTGTTCCAACACTTTGTTTAACCTTAAGCACACGGGTGGGGTTCAAAGTGTGCATCCTTATACTATTCATTTTATCCTACAATGCTAATTTAGTTCCAGTTTAGCTTAGAGGAGAGTAAATACCAGATATAATATATAGGGATACCAATAAAAAACTGTAGATATGCATTTTGGAAGTTCTAGAAGTTATGTAAACGCAAACTGTATAATGGGCAAAAATATTTTTATTATTTACATGAAGTCTGATAATATCTTCAGTACAAATGCTTTTGTAACACATCTGACTTACTATGTACAACAGACTTGTATATTTTACTAAAAGTTTTCATATTCCAAGTAGATACATCTAGTAATTCAGAATTATAAGATCAACATTCCTTCTCCAATACGGGTTTGGTCCAATGGACCAAGCCTGTGCATATTTGGTTAATTCAACATTTACACTGTAGCATTTTGTTTATAATAAAGTTAAAATTACAAGAAACTATGTGAAGTTACAAATAAACAATGTTAATTACCTACCAAATTTGTAAAATAATAGCCTCCTTCACCACTCATTAGTCTTTTGGGGATACTGAGCTGTGTAATATATTCTATATTAGACTTTAACAATGGAGGATTTGCCCTCAGAACAATAAATACTAAGGCTGGCAGAAACTCATCAGCACTAGCTGGTCCCCCTCGACAGACCTGAAGAATGTTGAAGATGTTCTGGCTACAGTGAACAATGCAGTCTAATTTGTCTTGAGGTGACCTTTTAGAGTCCATCTCTATGATATCTGAGGTGACAAAATATGTGTCGTGAACTTGACAAGAAACCATTAAAATTCTTTAAAAAACACTCAAGGTAAATCTAATGGTGATTTACAATCTGTAAACATGTAGGTTAATGATAATTATTTTTTATTTCATATCAAAACACTAATATTTTTCCTGAAATTTATTTCATTACTTCATAGGAAAGTCTATCCTTGAGTGAGTACACTCATTCATATAGATCTAGTTATAAGTATTTGACACAGATCTACAAATAAAGTAATATTAGTACTTTATGTATTTGATCTTTTTTCAGAGAACATTTACTAGCAATATTTAAGCTGATAGTACTAGTAGCATATGAATTTTATTAACATTAAGAAAGAATATAAATGTGTTTAGATATAGTTCAGTTCGCAAAGTCAACAACAACATCAAAAGTTTTGAACAATATAATTACTACTGAATTTAGAGAGCAAAAAAAACACAAGTCTAGAAACCTGTGATAGCTTTGTCGATGAGATCTCTGACTTCTGGATGTTTGTCATCAATGTCAGAATCCAGGTGTGCTGCTGTTACCCAATTGAGACTGCGAATCCTCTTCTGAATGGCTAGATCATTTTCCTCGTATTCTGATGAAAACAGGCCAAACAAGTTCTTATATAGTCGTATCATTAGATATTTCTCAGTAAAGTTCATCAGCAGTTCAGGATCAGAGCCTATATTGGATAGTATTAAAAGTACTGCATTAACTTCCATTAACAATCTTGATAAATTGTGTGTGTGTATACACATATAAAAAATACGTTTGTGTTTGTCTATCCATTTCTTCACAAATTTCTTGTTCAAATGCTACAAATCTCATATTGTTAGAAAGCCCTTTGTCTGAGGAGTCCAGGTTGCATGTTGGCTTTTCAATTCAGAATCACCATACCTTTTTTGCTTAGCCAAACTTTTCAATGCAATAAGTATGGTACACAATGGTACAATATCATTGTCATCACATTTTTATTTGCAAAGTATTTCACCTAAACAATACTTAACCCACATGTAATTTCCTAAAAAAATTAACATTACACTAAATACAATTTCAAGTGTTTTCTCCACTTACTTAGGTCTAAAATATACATGTTCAGTTCATTCAAAATCATATGCTTATCACTTTGTGAACACCTTTGTCTCTGCATATTCAGCAAAGCTTTCCTTCATTGCAACTTTATATTTACTTTACTTTGCAATAGTTTAGTTTCGGTTCATTTCACAGACTACTATAAACATCTTTTAGCTACTTTTTTCTTTACTACAGGTTTTATTTTTTATTTTTGTGGGTTTCTTTGTTTCAACTCATAAAAACCATGCCATACACTGAATGCTCATAACTGTTTCATACTCTGTACACTATTATAAATACAATTACTTCATTTTATTGTTTACATTATGTTTAGTTTTATTAAACAAAGTTACATACGTGTAGTTTTATTATATAAAATTACGTGTACACGAGTTTGTTTGTCTGACTGTGTATAGACCAGAATTTATCAATGTAACACATAATGCCTGTAAGAAAGCACAGATTAAATGGCATCCATGAAAATGGTAGAATAAACAACATTCAAGTGAAAGACATAAAAACTACCACAAATGTTTTTGGGGTTGCAGCTAGTATATGAGTAATACACTAGCAATGTAGATCCAAGGATGTGTATTTATATATTTCTAACACAGTTAAGTCAGAAAATAGAGTTGGGTGATTAGTGGTCTTTCCTGTCTGATTAATTTGTGGACTCATAAGTTGATAATTACCACAACCTACCATGCACAAAAAAACAAAACAAAAAAGAATGGGTATTCGCTAGCTTCTTTAGTTTCTGAACCACTGTATTATTATAACATCTAACACAATATTAACCTTCCTATTTTCACATAGTCTTGGTTTCTTAAAGTAATTTTTGAATTACCCTTCATTTCATATGATAGACATACTCTTGAGGTTGCCATTAGCACGTTTTGTGAAAAAGAAAATTTTTTCTGGTAAAAAACGTTTTGGCACAAATTTTTTAAAGATCATCTGGACATTTTCTACATGGTGAATGAATTACTAATGGCCATTTTGGTTTCTTTTTTAAAA